GTCCCGGCTGAACATCAGCCTTATTGGGCCCCGTCGGTGGTGGTCTATTGGTTCGTTGAGGCGCGCGCGGAACGCTACGCGCCGTACGCTCGGGTGTCTTTTTCTAGGGCTGAAGGATCGCCTGATGACTAGCAATAGACATCTTCAACACCGAGGTTCTTACAAAGCTTAATACGTTGCTGGTATTTTTGGGTATTGTGATTGTGTGAGGGGTATTGGGTCTCCAGTAAAATCAATCACGTGCCGAAACACAACGCTGTGGTTATTTCACGTTGTTTGCCTTTAAGGCCGTTGTATCAATACGGCCGAGCTGGCCTATTTGTGGTGATGCATGGCACATGAACAATTGGTCGGGGTTTGACTAAATTGATGTTTTATTTGATTTTCTTTTTTATTTTTAATCCTATCGTCCTGTCATGTGTAACTGATGCCTTTAAAACAAATCATTGATGCAAAATACTCTGTCATTATCACATTTTTTATAAGGGAAGTTACAATTCAGGTCTGTATTCGGATATCGGTATAGATATAAAATTATATCACTTACAAATATGTTTTTATTTCGAATATTCGATAATTTCGATTACGGTAACAGAGCTCAATATCATTTGCAATATACCTATAGGTATAGGCCGATATATACGACATTAACTCCACGAATAAACGTATTGTATGCATAAAGCATTGATTTAAGTAAATAATAATTTAGAAAAAACTTTTCTTCGTGACAAAATAAAGGCAAGGCATTATTAATACAAACAATTCGGAGGAATCTCATAGCGTAGGGAAACGGACACAGGAATGAAGCACTCTTTATCACACGAACCTCTTTTCTCAACGGTTATAAATCTCTAGCGGTATGTCCGTAGCTACTTCTTTATGGACATGATTTAAAGGAATTTGGACTTTGTGGAGACGGCATGTAATTACTAATCCTATTGTCATAAGCCTCGGTAAACGGCAAAAGTATCTTTTAAATAAAGTATTATCTTGTAATGATAATGACTCCGTGTCTATTTTTTTTATGTTATAAGCAGACGGATTACCTGATGGTAAGCAGTCGTCGCCTGCTATGGACACCCGCAACACCAAAGGAGTTACGAGTGCGTTGTTTACACAACGCTGTGGGTCGTTTCACGCCGGTATTCTGTGAGGCCGTGGTATCACTCCGGTCGAGCCGACCCATTCGTGCCGAAGCTTGCTCTCCCACACTTATTCTTAAGCGCCACAAGAGCAATTGCCACCGCTTATGGACACCAATGGAGTTACGAGTGCGTTGTCGAACTTTAAAGGATAAGGGTATCGGATATTTAAAAATTGTGGAGGGTATAGATTGGGCTTTCGATAACATGACTGATACGGCAAAACACAACGCTATAGTTGTTTCATGTTGGTTTTCTGTGAGGCCGTGGTATCACTCCAGTCGAGCCGACCCATTCGTGCCGAAGCTTGGCTCTCCCGAATTCTATGCCTGTGTAGTTGACCAACAAGAAAATATTATATTTGAAGACACCGGGGGGTTGGTACAAACATCAACATCCCGATCATCGAGCGCTCTAAACCATAATGCGCACGCAGAGCTATCCGTGTGACGTTCCGCCAGAGTACTATTCGTTGCACTCTCGTCCCATAATTTGTGTTAACTGATAAAAACTCCTTCAATATAAATATAGGACGCACCGTCCTATTATATTACATTATCAGACTAAATTTCATTGAATATTAATTCACTCACAAAAGAAATAAATATAAAATACCTTCTGCGGTTTGTACCTCAACAAAGTTACTCCTAAAATCTTGACCCCACTGACCACACTTTAAGCCTACCTCATTTTCACCACTGACTACCAAATCACAAGTAATAAGTTTAACAAACCCCTTGGCAAGTTATGGAATCCTAGTATTCCGTGTTAAAATTAAATTTTGATTGGACGGTTCGGGATTTAAAACGACCTTACTGGTCAATAAATTTTACGGGAAAATACTTTAATTTCGTTTTTATTATAAATTCTATCACGCGCGTGACATTTTATAACTTAGCTACTCACTAAATATAGTTATTACTCTTGGAAATTGCTTTTAAATAATCTTAAGAGGTCGATCAATTCTTACTATACTTAAGTCTCTTGTAAAAATATTGATTTCAAATATCTCTATATAAACTACCTCGTTTCAAAGATATTCACATCAAGTAAACTTTTAAATTAATACATTTAGCATAAAAGTACTGACCAGAGTCTCATGTATAAATGCAAAACACGATAACATGTTTAGAAGTTTGCCTATTCCGCAAGTCAATCTGATAGTGATGCTCGTAAAGGGAAACGATAATGATATACCTATCTGCGCATATACTTCTCGTTATTTATGTCGCCCTGGTACTCTAACATTTATAATGACCGCTTTGACGCTTATATCTTAGTATAATATTTATTTTATAGAGGAGTGTAAGTGTAAACGCTGCTGTTTTTAAAATACCGGAATACATTACTTTTATACGAGAAGCCACAGGCGGGAGCTAGTAATTCAATATTTTATGTTTCTACATATCAATCAATCCAATTTTTGTAGTTTATAGCTGTCTCGTTTATAGCTGTCTGACGAAAAAAGCAAATAAGGTGTATGTGCCCAAAAAACCTGAGCAAACTGCATGCCAATCAATTCAAATGGTTTAGCACCGTAAAATCTCCGGTGCCAGGGTATAATAAAACGCAAAAGCTTATCTACCTAACAGCTGACGTACCGAAAGTACCACAAATGGCGTGTAACAACGAAAACTTTCGGCGTCCGAAGTGCCTGCATTAGATATGAGACTTTATCGACTGTCGATATCGATATCCCGCGGGAAATACAGACGATAGATAATGTGATTCCTTGTTTCCGAACTCAATGTTTATTGAAAAGTTTTACTTGAAAAGTAGATTGCGGTCTAGTTGTTTTTTTGTTCCCATTGGTATAGTGTTTTTTAGGCTCAACCTACACCAATTTTTTTTTTATGTAATCGGTCAGCAAACGAGCAGCCGTGTTACCTGATGGTAACCAATCAGCGCCGCCTATGGACACCCGCAACGGAGGAGTTACGAGTGTGTTGCCGATATTTAGGGATTTGGAGATTGAGGAGGGATTGGGGGAGGGGAAGGATTGGATTAATAAAACTCCAAACTTCACTTTCAAAGGTTTTTTATGAGATAGGGCTGCAAACGAGCAGGCGGATTACCTAATGGTAAACAATTGGCGCCGCCTTCGAGTGCGTAGCGGGCCTTTTGGGGATTGGTGTTTCGGATATTTAAGGGACTGGAGAGGGATGGGGGGAGGGGAATGATAGGATCTCCACTAATTAATTAAACTCACATGTGTGAAATACAACGCTGCGGTTTTTAACGGCGGCTGTTGTCTGTTTGACTGCAGGGCTTGGCTCTCCCACACTTTTTCACTTCACCAGAGATTTTGGATTAGAGCTTGAAATGCCACTAAATTAGCATGTCATTCAAATACCAAATGCAATCGATAGCTGTAAATATCTGTAATCCTTCATCTGTAAATAAAACGTCATCCCTATCGACATCAGCTATTTATACATTGACCCCATCACTAGCTGCACCCCGATGCTTGCAACTGACTTAAATTTAGATTTGACCTTATACCCTCCTTTGGACTGTGTTGCAGTCTAGACTACTAAGATAGAAAAATAAACTTATATTTTACTGATAAAAATCCTTATGCTTTGCAAAAATTTTTAGCTAAAATATAGTAAACTAGCTTTTGCCCAAAACTTTGTTCGCGTGGAATGGTGGCTACCTGCAGATTTTTGGTTTATAAACTATCCTATATCCTTTCTCGAGTTCCAAACTACATATGTCTGTAGGTACCAAAATTTCACACAAATAGGTTTAGTAGTTTAGGCGTGAAGAAAAGACAGACAGATATAGCTACTTTCGCATTTATGTTATTATAGTTTGGGCTAGCCTCCGCACGCGGCTTCGCATACGTATAAAAGTAATGTTTCCCGGGATTTAAAAAACAGCAACGTTTAAAGCGATATCTAGTTTAGCACATAATCTGATACCCAAAATATTGAGCACTGTTATTCTGTGATTTATTGTAATAAATTACTTTTGATTTGAAATAAATAGTCTTCAAAAAAAGCACTCAAGAACATTGTAGCTATCTATCAGTGAAAGAATTTTGGAAATCTGATTAGCGGTCCAAAATATTACCCCTACATACAAACTTACAAATTTTACCTTTTTTAATGTGATCGGTCGGCAAACTAGCAGACAGATTACCTGATGGTAACGCCCATGGCCACCCGCAACGGAGGAGTTAGGAGTGCGTGGGATTAGGGATTTGGGAGATTTAGGGATTTGGGAATGGGAAGGATTGAGTCTCTAGTAACCTCACTCACATGACGAAACAACGCTGTGGTTGTTTCACGCCGGTTTTCAGTAAGGCCGTGGTATCACTCCGGTCGAGCCGACCCGTTCGTACCGAAGCATGACTCTCCCTCAATTATAATAATTGGTATTTATAATGAAATGTGGGTCGAATTTGCAATTAAGAACTTTAGATTTAACTTGTAAAGTTTTATAAGAGCAACAGGAGAGAGCAAAGTTTTGTAAAGTTTTACTAGGAAAGTATTCATTGAATTAAGTAGGATTGAGGTAGAATACCAAGCATATACGGTTGGTTGGTTTTTTGGAACATATTGAGAGGGTAAACTTTGAAAGGACTTGGGACTTGAGTAAAGCAGTGATTCCGTTGTATTTGGTCGTGTGGGTGAGGCTACCATTGGTGCCATCCTCCCCTTATCCCATCCAAAATTCCCATCCGTAACTACACGAAGACCGTTAACGGACTTACAACTCTTCTGGTAGGTACTACGGATGTCCTTTGGTGACACTAATTGCTTACCATCAGTTTTGCTGTTCTCTCGCGTAGAAAAGGCTTTTTTTTATGTTGACTACAATTTTGAAGTGTGGGGGAGCTACACTTCAGCCCTAATGGGTCGGCTCCAACGGAGTGATACCACGGCCTCACAGAAAGCCGATGTGCGGAAATCCTTGTGTTTCGTCATGTATGTGAGGTTACCAGAGACCCAATCCTTCCCTATTCCCTCAAAGGTCGGTAACACACTCGTGACTTCTTTTCTATTGCGGGTATCTATTAACTCTCTCATTGCTTAACATCAGGTAATCCATCAGCTCGTTTTCCGTCCTATCATATAAAAATCAGCCTCTTCAATAACTCATATTTTACATCGAGACCTCTATTTTAAAACTATAAATTGCCTTAATAATAATGTGCCTCATTCATATTTTATCGACCGCATGGATTAACTTTGCACAGGCGCTCCCCCTCCGGCTAAGTACATTCAAAGCGCTCTGGAAATATAAAACGTTAAAAGCGATTTCAACAATCACTTCACTGTAAAGGCGGAACGTCTAATCATAAGCACCGAGATTCTCCTTCAGATATTCTACATTTTCTTTGAAATAATTAAAACATGAAAGACGTCCTTACAATGTTATATAGGAATATTTTGAAATGCGATGTATATTCCATGTTATATTTATATTTAAAAGGATTATGGTTTTAAAACATTTTGATTTCCTCCTTACTTAACAGATTTTCTCACTGAAGTCGAAGTTATAAGGAACAAGATTAAATTCTTGTACATTTTTAATACAAGTCAAATACGGATCTCTTTCGCTTCGCTCCGGAACCGCGTCGCGATCAATTCGTTCAGACGGCGGAGAAAAAGTTCCAATCTTTGAGATTAGTTAAGGTCTCGCGTAACAGTAATAAAGTTTCAAGGTCACACTCCGGGTGCTTTTCCCTTTTTCATCCCAACTTAGAGGGTTGTTCCACGGAGTGATAAGGGTTCCGTTTCACTAAATGTGGTGGTTGAACAAAATTGGAAAAAACATGGATCCATTTTACTTAGAATGTTAAAGACTTTTGTTGTGTTCTTAAAAATGAACAAATTTTGCTGTCGAACTTCTGGTCTTTAAGGATAAAAACGTGTAACCTATTACTAAGACCAATCTATCTGTCCTTCTGTATGCCTGTCTGTCATCAAGCTGTATTATTTTGATCCATGATACTGGCTATCCGTGACACTAGCTACAAGATGTTACAATTGGGACAGATAATCTATTTCTTTTGTCTGTGTAACTAGAAATACAAACCAAATACTTAAATAAAATTTTGCATATGCACTTTGAAAATCTGTTTTATGATACTTTCAATATTGATTCGAATCTATTTTTTCTATCTGAAAATCCATCACTGAAAATGTGAACATAGGACACCAGGACATTGATCGAGTGCAGTTTTTAAATGCAGCTATATTTTCTTATATTGCAAGAAAACGAACGAGTATACGAAGTAGTAGCGCGAAAGATTTGTGTATTTTCTAAAAGAAAATGTAGTAGTTTTACTACTTTATTTAAACAACATCTTTTTCCTAGAAAATTTTGAGAAAATTCAACTTGGTTAGTTCAGCTTACTTTATTTTTTTGTCGGCTTTTGTAGACAGCCGCAACACCAATGGATTCACAATTAGTGCTTTGCGGGTTTTTGTGGTATTTTGTGGATGCAGGAGGGACGGATACAAAGCAAGTGCTATTTTATGAATGTATTTTGTGAGGACTCAGTATCAGTCCGGTCGAGCCGGTCCATTCGTACCGAAACATGACGACTCTCTCACACTTGACTACTTCCTTTCAAATTTTAAATTTTCTTACTATTTTTTACGAAAAGTACTAGGCTAACAGATAATGGAAGAGCTCTGGTCATTACCCGATGAGACATGATAATCTCTAGAGTTAATAAACTGTGTTTAACAAAAGTCGTAGCTAGTTGAGACCACACCTTTACAGAGTTAAAGTTATTAGTAGACTGGAAGCTAGGACACTTAGCTAGAGATAGGTAGTGACAAACAAGGCAACATGGCCGCCGGACGCTGTTACCGGAGTGTGGCCACTCGGCGCTAATAGCAAAGTACACAACGGATGGCTGGCTCGTCACTTACTTTCATAAAGATTATGATATTGCACAAATTTTATACTATACTCCATCAACATATGTTTTCCTGGTATCGATTAAAATTCATTGAAATTTATACGAAGCCTCAATGGATTTTCATTTTAGTTTCTGCGTGTGAATTGTTTTAATAAAATCATGAAAAGTATCTACAAGAAAGGGGATAATTCGAATAACATGAAAGTCATATGAAATATGTAGTAACAAAATATAGAGATTCTTCTGCCAGTTAGGCAAAACCAACTTTATGGTAATTGCCTGGCAACTGTTATAGAAATTTAAATTACTTCTATTTCTCGCGAGGAAAAAATAAAAAGACTATTCCGAGTACCTAACTATAAGACTTAAAAATCTACATGATCCATTATTTTAAAACAAGATTAAGTATTTCCAAATTTAAACTTGGAAATCTAGAAAATGACTGGCCTTGATAAGTAGACATCAATAACTCGCCTCACTGAAACAATTATATTGCTCTCCCTACAAAAACAATTAACGATTGTCTCCCAGCCTCTGACGTCGTCATTGTTCCTATTAAATTCCCTTATAGAAGTCAATTGCGCTGACTCACGTGGAAAATGGCCGCCGGGTTGCTAATGAAAGGCTAATGACCGTTCAAGCTTTGTCCAAAGCATGATTTGCGCATTCTAGCAACGAAATTTCGGAATTCTGGTCTTCTAAATCAATGCTATGAATGTGTGAAATTAAGTTTTAAAGAAAAACTGATTTGAGTAACACAATTTCGTCTCCATACAAAAATTTGGACCATTATTTAGATGAAAAAACGATAAAATAGATTTAAAAGAAAAAAAAATAAAATTCTTTAAAATACTGTTGTGAAACTAACTTCCTTTGGTCGGGTATAAATAACATTTTCTCTTGTACAACGACTTCCTGATACCAGGACTGCATAAAAGCGTAGAGTAGTTAGCATACAAACGAGTGTAATCTGTGTTTTGTTGCAGGAACCGCATAGAAAGAACCGCGTCCAAACGATGGCGGGGCACCGTGCGGCGTATTGTGTCTGCTGCTGTTTGTAAGTATTATTTTATTTATGGATAAGTAAGTATAGGTAAAATTTTAAATAAAATCCTTAGATATTGTATTACATTTTTATGAAAAGATGCCAGCAAGAAAAAAACAATTTCACTTTAATTAGTTCGCAACTATTCTCTATGATTTTTGTTTCTCGCTAATAATAAATGAAAACACAAAAATATCCTAGTTAGTAACTATTTTTTTTGACCGAGTGTTTCAGAGAATAACTCACATGGAAAATAATACCAGGGAAACAGACAACAACAAGAGCAGCCCTTATGCAAAATTCAATTAGTGTAGCCACGTCTTACTAATGTGGTTGGTATGCTTACCCGATGTGTAGGTAGCATTAATATTCAATTTACTTTAAACGGAGCATGTCTCTTTTATGTGAATGTGGAATTATGGTATGTGCTACGAAATCATAATTCTCGTAGCCGTGCTACGCCGTAGCAAGATGTAAATTTGTAGTCGATCCTTAAAAGTAAACAAAACGATTGATCGAAGAAATAATACCTATTAAACAAAATAATGTTCAAAGCTACAAATGGCTAGCTAATAAATAACTCAGATCACGTCGCGATCATCTTGGCAGATCGGTAATCGGGAACATTAGAACCATCTTTGTATAAACAGCTCCGTGACCTGAAAGCAATAAGAGGCCACTTTACAGGGACAAATTATGTTATTTTATAATGCAATGGTCGTTCAAGTACAGAACCAGCAGTCTGAACCTATCCACCTGCATCGGGGCGTAAGACAGGGGGACGTTATTTCCCCCAAACTGTTTACTAATGCTTTGGAGGATGTGTTCAAGACGCTGCGCTGGAAAGGCCGGGGCCTAAATATTAACGGCAAGTATCTCTCACACTTGAGATTTGCAGACGATATTGTAATCGTGGCTGAAACCGTGCAGGACTTACAATGTATGCTGAACAGCCTGGCTGCTTCCTCTGCTCGCATCGGACTCCGGATGAACCTACAAAAAACGAAGGTCATGTTCAATGAACATGTTCTCCCGGAGCCGATCACCATCAATGAATCTCTTCTCGAGGTTGTTCAAGAGTACGTCTACCTCGGGCAAACTATCCAGTTCGGTAGAAACAACTTCGAGAGGGAGGCTCGTAGGAGGATACAGCTTGGCTGGGCGGCGTATAGGAAACTCAGTCGGGTATTCTCGTCAAAGATACCGCAAAGCCTGAAGACAAAAGTCTTCACTTCTTTAACACATTCGTAAATTTAAAGAGTGTTTGCTAAGCCTTTCTTGGTCTCATGTCTACTCACAAGCTGAAGCAAATGATGCTTTTCGCGAATTTCATGAATTGGTGTGCTTGTTCTACAATCTTTGTTTCCCAAAAGTAAGAGTTAAGGTAAATACAAATACTAGAAATAAACAAAAGTGGATCAGTAAAGGTATAAGACTAAGTTGTAAAACCAAACGAACTTTACGTTTTCAATACTATAAATGTAAAAATGTGACTAGCAAAATTATATATAACACGTATTCTAATCTTCTTAAGAAATGTATTTATGGCTCAAAAAAGATCTCAAATATTAGATACATCAGCTTGAATGATAATAAGTGCAAAGCTACGTGGAATGTTATTAAAAATGAATTAAACAACACTAACTCCAAGGATAACATAGATCTAATAAAAATTAATGATATCGAAATCACAAACCCGAAGGAAATCGTTTCAGCCTTTAATGATTATTACATAAACCTAACCCATGAATCAACACAAATAATAAATTCATCTCCCATTACAACAGATAAACGAGCTAATTCCATGTTTCTCAAACCAATGTTGGAAATTGAAGTACGTCATGAAATAATGTCTTTGAAAAATACTCGGTCTGAAGGACATGACGAAATCAATACAAAAATAATAAAAACCTGTTGTAATGAATTAGTTGTAATTTTAACTCACTTAATTAATGTATCATTTATACAAGGGATCTTTCCAGAAATATTAAAATTATCTGTAATTAAGCCGCTTTTCAAAAAAGGAGACAAATCTGATCTAAATAACTACCGCCCAATAACTTTAATACCCATTTTATCTAAAATTTATGAAAAATGCATGTATAAAAGATTAATCGATTTCTGCAACAAATTTCATATCTTGAGCGAGGAACAATTTGGATTTCAAAAACACAAATCGACAACATTAGCAAGTTTCTCTTTAATTCAAGCAATAGTATCGAGTATAAATAATAGTCATCTTACTACAGGTCTTTTTTTCGATCTATCCAAAGCGTTCGATCTAGTTTCGCATAATATACTGCTGCAAAAGTTAGAGGCAATTGGGATTAGAGGACCGACACTTCAGTGGTTATCATCATATTTGAGTAATAGACAACAATGTGTCATTATCAATAGAGTGAATGAAAATAAAGATATAGTGCCCTATCAGTCCGAATATAAGTGCAATAAATATGGCGTCCCACAAGGAAGCATACTAGGCCCGATATTGTTTCTCATATATATAAATGATATTACTACAATAACTAACCATAAATGTGTGTTGTTTGCTGATGATATTTCTATCATAGTTACCACTGAGAAAAAATATTATACAGTCAAAGATCATGAATTAGACATTAATAATACTATAAATAAATTATTGCAATGGCTTGATACAAACTGCTTAAAAATTAATTTAGATAAATCGGTTTATATACAATTTAATAAATCTAATAATAACAAATATAACATTAATCTTAATATAAATAAAATAAAACAGGTGACACATACAAAGTTTTTAGGGATAACAATAGATGAAGATATCAACTGGAAAGTACACGTAGATAACATTAACACTAAAATAAATAAATTTGTGTATGCATTAAGACAAGTTAAGAATGTAACAAACGTTAAAACAGCTATTACTTCATACCACGCTTATGTAGAATCATTACTCCGCTACGGGTTGATATTGTGGGGCAATAGCACGGATGCCAATAGAGCTTTTGTTGCCCAAAAAAAGTGCATTCGATCTATATATGGACTTCAAAGTGACGATTCTTGTGAACCGGTATTTAAAGAACTTGGTTTGTTGCCATTACCGTCTCTTTATATATTTGAAATATGCATGTTCGTAGTCAAACATAAAAACTTATTTAAGATGGCAGCTATGGTAAATCCGAGAAACAGACGGGACCCACATAGGCTGGTTCTCAATGACTTTCCGAGACTTACTAAGTACAATAAAAGCTGTTTGGCGATGTGTGTGCGAATTTTCAATAAGTTACCATGTCAATTAAAAGAAATAAATAAAAATTTATTTAAGTCTGAATTGTATAAGCTTTTAAATAAATGTAACTTCTATAGTTTAAAACAATTCATGGAGCATAAGTTTTAATATGTTATGGTTATTATTAAGTTACTTATATTAATTTACTTAATTTTTAAATTTTGCATGCTTTTTTAGTGAAACACGATTGTACTTTTCATTATTATGTATAACACCACTTCTATACCGTGTTTTATGCAAATAAATTATATACTTACTATACTTACTTACTTACTTCAATGAGTGCGTCCTACCAGTGATGACATACGGAACCGACGTGAACACTTACAGTGCGACTGATCCACCAATTTAAAGTCGCGCAGCGAGCTATGGAAAGGGCTATGCTTGGAGTCTCTCTGAAGGATCGTATTCGAAACGAGGTGATCCGACAGAGAACTAAAGTTATCGACATAGCCCAAAGGATTAGCAAACTGAAGTGGCAGTGGGCAGGTCACATCTGTCGAAGAACCGATGACCGCTGGAGTAAACGTGTTCTAGAGTGGAGACCACGTCTAGGCAAACGTAGTGTAGGGCGCCCTCCAGCTAGGTGGACTGACGACATCCGCAGGGTGGCTGGCAGTGGTTGGATGAGAAGAGCTGAACATCGAGCTCAGTGGCGTGCAATTGCCTATGTCCAGGCCTATGTCCAGCAGTGGACGACAACAGGCTAATGATGCCGTACACAAATACATATTTTATAGGTACCTACTTCATTCCTTTTTTGCCAACTTTTTATGGGTATGCCTCTCAAAGATGGCCAACGAACTAGGTCTTCTCTTATTTAACCATTTGCCTCTTTATATATAAAACAGAATAAAAAAAAATATTGGAGTTCAAGAACCGTACGGCGAATTGAAAGACATGGGCGGTGATGGGTGTTCTAAAAGTACGTTTTCCAATCATTCCAAAGACATTTTTTTTATTGCAGGGCCGTTCTCAATAATCAGGTCAGAGTGTGATATGTATTAACGTTTAAACAATAACACATTTTTTTATGTGATAAGGTCGGCAACCGTGTCAACAACGGATTACCTGATGTTAAGCAATTAGCGTCGCCTATGAACACTCGCGACGACGGAGGAGTTATGAGTGCGTTGTCGACCCTTTGGGGGTTACGGATTTTGAGATTTTAGGAATGGGGAGGGATTGGGGTAGAGGAAGGATTGGGCCACCGGTCACCTCACTCACACGGCTTAACACAACGCTGTGGATATTTTGGGCCGGTTTTCTGTGAGGCCGTGGTATCACTCCGGTCAAGCCGACCCATTCGTGCCGAGGCACGTTCTAAACGACTGCTAACCTTTAGTATTACTTGTTTTTTTTTATTAATTCAATTATGGCTTCATGCACAAGAAAATGTACCTACACAAGGTGGACTTAAAGCATTGAGCCATCCTCTACCAGTCTGACCTTTGGGTAAGAGAAGATTACTTACGATAAGAATTATTAAAAAAATTAAGAAAGACGAATAAGGATTATTTATTGTATACTAAATACAATAAATAATCCTTATTGAACACCAAAGGAGGTTGTGACATGAGAATAAAAAAATAAATATAGCATAGGGAACAATGGCGGCGTTATCGCTAAAAGCAGCTTTCTATCAGGCAACCTTTAAGTGGACGGAGTGCTTTAGTTTTTTTTTTCTGTGGAGTGATTAACATCAAATGATTTCTCTTGCCCCTGGTATGACGAGAGAGAGTGTCAGACTGTTACTGACTTAAATCACCTCGTTCCTTCTACTGCTCCTAGTATTGTAGTAGTTGGTGGCAGTCTACGAGTGCTCTGGTGCTTATGTATGTAAATAAGCGAATGTAAAACATATAAATACACTAGAAGTCGCGGGGCAAAACCCCGCGACTTCGTTCACGTGCAATAGTGACGTCCTGCATATTTTAAGTATAAAAACTATCCTATGTCCTTTCTTGAGTTGCATTGTAAAAGTGATTGAAAAAGAGTAACCATGGAGTTTCTTGCTCGTTCTTCTCCATAGGAATCTACACTTTGGAACGAGCAAATAGCTTCACTAGAGGACAGACGGACAGACTGACACATACAAAGTTAAACCTTATGATATCTTTTTTGCTTGACGTTCAAAAGTGCCTTTTGTGGTCTACTTGAAATAAAGAATTTGATCTGATTGATTGTTTTGACAAACTATGTCTGTACCAAATTTCACACAAATAGGTTCAGTAGCTTAGGCTGTTTCAGTTCAGACAGACAGACAGAGTTACATTCGCATTTTCATTACAAGCAATATACATACATACATAAATACATACATGTGTATTATGTATGTACCAAAACGTGTTAACTACACCCACCCAACCGTTATGAGACTAATGGTGTATGAACTTAATAGTCAATCTCGTTGGTCAGTACATTTGAATAACAACTGAGAACTGCAGTTCAGAGTTCTCTATTTAGTTTGGGTAAGACTAAATCTTATTTCTGAAGGCAAAGTGAAATACAGATGTCACTTAGTATTTCAGTGAGTATAATAAGCGCCAGCTAAATCGAAACGAATGTTATAAATGCAAAAGCACCTCTGTCTGTCTGTGTTTTCTTCACGCCTAAACTACTGAAACTATTTGTGTAAAATTTGGCACAGACATAATTTGGAACTCGAGAAAGGACATAGGATAGTGTTTTAACTAAATAATTTTAGAACAACAGCGAATAAAGTCGCGGGCAAAAGCTAGTTCTGCGATAATCTTGTATCTTTGAAACGGCTGCCTCTTGGCATGAGGTCGTGGCGCCATAAGATCTATTTATAACCCCATAAAAAAGGTTCTGTAACTCTTTGGTTCCATGAATTAACTGAAAAAAAAGCCTTACTAGTTTATGTCTATGTCTATATGTGTTTTAAAGTGTGGGAGAGCCATGCTTCGGCACGAATGGGTCGGCTCGACCGGAGTGATACCACCGCCTCACAGAAAACCGGCGTGAAATAACCACAGCGTTGTGTTTCGCCGTGTGAGTGAGGTTACCGGAGGCCCAATCCTTCCCTTCCCCCAATCCTTCCTCAATCCCTAAATCTCCAAATCCCTAATCCCTAAAAGGTCGGCAACGCACTCGTAGCTCCTCCGTTGCGAGTGTCCATGGGCGGCGCTGATTGCTTACCATCAGGTAATCCGTCTGCTCGTTTGCCGACATATTAAATAAAAAAATAAAAAAAATGTCACGACGAAATTCTTATTTTTCAGCAGCGTGTACGTCGCGATGACGTCGTACAGTCGACTGGAATGCTGAATAAGAGTCCCGTTGTGACTTGAAACAAGTCGAGCTCTTCTCAGTTAATTCTCGTCAATAATCATCAAAAATTCTGACCATTTCACCAACAAGCAATCTAGTGGCCCAACTACTTCGCTTTGAATTAACAAAACGGAAATAAATGTCAGTCACAGAACAGAAACATTATGTATTTTACATATTTTAATTTGCATTTCCATTGTCTAAACACTGTCACAAATGTACTGCAAAAACAGCAGGCGACCCACCGGACCGCGCCGTCCACATCCGCAAACAGCTGTCCCAAATATCCAAATGATAATGTACGAACAAACAGCCCATAAATACACCTTTTTGCATTTCTACTCTCCTAGTACCCCTGTTACTGAATTTTGATAAAGTTTTGCAATTCTAATTGTTAGTCTTTAAATATTGTTTTGGTTATTATTTAAAATGCTGTTTAGATATCCAGGGTGGATGTAGAAGACATTTGAAGCAACTGGGCCAGCAAAATTTTCTTAAAAATCTGTGTTAAAATTTTAATTTTGCAATAATATAAAACCGTCATGGAACATGCCCCTTTTTTATATAATTTTTATTTTTGTCAGAGCAAAACCATCAAATGAGTTCTCTCGCCCAGGGTAAGGCGAGAAAGAGCGTCAGACTCTTACAGACTAAAAACCCCCCGTTCCTTCTACTGCTCTGGACCGAGGCCGCGGTGACGTATTGCGCTTAACCCGCAACCACGGCTGAACATCAGCCCTTTAGAGCCCCGCCTGTGGTGGTCTATTGGCTCATTGAGGCGCGCGCGGCACGCTACGCACCGTATGCTCGGGTCCAGTTTTGGTCGGGCGGCGAGCTACCCTTACTCGACGTCCGCAGACTTGCGCTTACGGTGACCGGAGATCATCTCTCGATTCCCGACGCCTGAGTTACGAGTGCAAGTGCAACAGACTGGTCCAGCTTGGAGCAAAAGATGTACCGCTGTGGTTTTTGGTAAAAATCTGATACTCCTTTTTCACCTCACCCAAGGTGGAAGAAATAATTTGATAATTTCCTGAAGAAAATAAGTACCTAACTATGTACGAGTACTAGGTACCTAAATCATTAAATTAATTACCGATTCTTGTTGCTTTTTCTAGATAACCTGTCCTGTTTCACCCACGGCTGCAGCACAGGATGGGTGTCCGGAGTACTAGGGAGCGAGGCATTAACAGGAGGTGCCTGGTTAGCTGCACTACCGTGCCTGGTCGCGTTACCAGCGGCACCATTTTTCGCAGTGCTAGCTGACGCGAGAGGACGCAAGGCTGGGGCTTTTTGTATCTGCGTTAGTTTTATTGTAAGTAAAATTATCTTATTTGATTTACGTAAGCGTATTCAAAAACAGCAAACAAAACAAGCTGGTTTATCAGTTTTTTATCTGATAGTGCAGCAAACGAGCAGATGGATTACCTGATGGTAAGCAATCTGTGCCGCTAATGGACTAGATTAGATTGCTTATCACCCGCAACAATAGACGAGTTACGAGCGTGTTGCCGACTTTGGGGATTAGGAATTTGGGGATTGGGAGGCTCAATCGGCCTCCGGTAAACTCACTGACCAGACGAAAGACTCAGCCCTTATTTATTTATAACTCTTTTATATAAAAAGTTACTATTTATTTCCAGATAAGCTGGTCGTTAGCAGCATGGTGTGGTCCCCGAGGAGTGTGGGCTGCCAGGGTAGCAGCTGGCGCAGGAGGTGCAGGAGCTCTTGCATTAGCACCTCTGTACTGTGCTGAAATCGCCCCAAGAACAAGGGGGTTGGCCGCTATGCCTTCATTAGCTTGCAGGTAAATCTAATCCTATTATGGCAACTGTTTTATAGTGAAAGTAATTCAAAAGTCAAAGAAAGTTAAAAAAGAAAAAATCACGCTTATTAATTTCTAATTACGAGTACAAGGAAACCAGAATGCACAGGAGATATCAATTTTCTTCAATAACAATTTCAGTTGCGGCATACTATTCGCGTACGCAGCTGGCGGTGTACTGTCCGCACATGCACTATCGTTATCAATGGCGGTACCGCCTTGTGTGCTCCTGGTATCACTCATCTGGTTGCCAGAGACACCTTCATTCCTCATCAGCGTCGGCAGGATACAGGTAAGAAAGAAAAGACAAAATTCTGAAACCATTAATATCAGTCTTCCAAAAATCTATATAAGTTTTTGTTCAGCCGATTTTTTGAGAAAATTTTTGATGTTATTACAGGATGCAGCAAAAATAATCTGCTGGTTCGATGGTTCCGACTTCCGAGAGGACCTGACGGACGTTATAGAACAACAAGAAGTCAAGATTAGGACTTCAGACTGCTACGGGCGACGAGACCCTATCCGAAGGCAGGACTCGGATACCTTCCAGCCAATGCTGAAGAGAAGTAGTGGACTAGACTCTAACTCCGAGAAGAAAAGGGAGCAGTCGGCTTGTAAGGAGCTGTGTGAGTAGTTAATGAACCGTTTTATATGTAATAGGACGACTAATATATGTAGACTTATTAGCTGATGCCACCGTAAGAGCGGTCGGTGAACAAGGGTAGCTCGCCACCCGAACACAGCCAGACCTAAATGTGCGGGGCATAGTGTTCCGCGCGCGCCTCAAATAGCCAATAGACTACGACAGATGAGACTTACTGACTAAAAACCCCTCCGTTCCTTCTCCTGCTCTTGGCCGATGCGCGCGATCGTGCAATAAAGAACTGCGGCCCAAGAGCAGGAGAAAGAACGGAGGGGTTTTTAGTTAGTAAGAGTCTGACACTTTCTTTCGCCATACTCTAAGCGAGAGAAATCATTTTGGTGGTTTTTCCTCCACAAAAAATACTGATTAGCTGATGATAATCAAATGGCGTTGTCGTTCTTTTTGGGTATTACGGTTTAAGGAGATTTAGAGATGGGGAAAGGGAAGGGTAACCTCACTCACATACTCACATGCCGAAATACTAAGCAGTGGTTGTTGAAATACTAAGCCGTCGTATAGATCTGGTGGAGCCGACCCATTCGTGCCGACGCATGTCTCTCCCACACAAAAAGACCTTATGTCTATTACTATGTATTCCGATAGAAGATAGAACAGAAGAGTTGTAAAACAGTCACTAACTAAAAACTACCCCATTCCTTCTCTAGGCTGGGACTGCGGTGCGTTTGCCCTACACCCCTGACACATAAATTTGTCATTTTAAAACCATAATTTTCCTCTTCCAACTTCTAAGTACCTTTATTTATCTCCAGTTCGACACCGACGCACTCGCCGTGCTTTATTCTCATGCCTGGTCCTACTGAGCGCTGCAGCTGGAAGTGGCGCCGGCGCAGTCAACAGTTTCGCAGCAGCAGTCTTGCGACACTCCACACACAGTGTTCCACACCTCAACGTTACGGCTTACAACTTTACCATGTATAATGGGTAAGGGTCATTAAGACAGATGCAACAATATCAAATGCCGAAAAATCTATTTTGGTTCAAAACTTGTTACATCAGGATCTTTTATAACAAATCTTTTTTTTTAATATGTGGGCTATTAAAAAAAAGATTTGGTATGTAGACCCTGATGTAACAAGCAGGGTTTTCTCCGGTATCTTGGGTGCATTTACAAACATATAGTTACAGATAAACATCTCACCCAGACACGGAACAACAATTTGTGGATCACACAAAAAATTGTTCCTTGCGGGAATCGAAAGCCGCGGCACGTTGCGTAGCAGCTGCCGTGCAGTCATATCATTGCATAGTATAAACCTAAGTGGCATTCTCTGTCCATATATCCCCATGTAACTTTAAAACTACGCAACGGATTTAGATGCGGTTTTTTAATTGATAGAGAGAGTTATTGAAAAAGAAGTATTTTTATCTAAAATGTAACCATCAATTTACTAGTGAACAAGTTTTAAAACAGTCTTTCAATAATTTTCAGAACTGCACCTCGCTCACTATTCGAGCCATCAGAAGCTGGCTCTATACTATGCGGCACTGCACTGGTCCTTGGAGCCGCAGTTGCTACTGTTTCCGTAGACAAACTTGGGAGAAAGGTATGACTCTTCCAAACAACTGTAATGTCACTGCAAAGAAACTAAAATACTGTATGATTATTTTCTTTTTATTTCTTTTATTCTTACAGATGTTGCTGCTCTGGTCGTGTTCAGGAATTACCTGTTGCCTCGCAATACTAGGAGCGTATTGTGACCCCAACATACGTCTGTACTCCTGGTACTCTCACCGCTTGTGGCCTTACAAACGTACGCACAATCTTAAGGAGAAGGGTTTGCAATTGACAGAAAACTTCACACAAGTTAATGTACTCCCGGAATGGAAGAATTATACGAATGATAGCTCCAGATTCAGAGTGGTACTGGAGAATGATAGTGTTTCTGAAGAGTGGAAGGTTCAGAATATAACTAATGTGGAAGAAGATACGGAGAAGCCGGAAGAAAATTTATGGGCCCCTGTAGCTCTGATGTCAGTGGTGCTGTTTTTGTACAATATAGGTCTGGGATCCGTGCCTTATGTACTTATATCTGAATTGTTTACCATCAATGTGAGTAATATTTGAGTCAAATTAGCGGTAATAGTCAGCCTGGTTTTAAACAAAATTAATTTATTATTAATATTTTTATCCACAGGTCCGAAGCCTAGCTTCCAGTCTTCTAATATCATGGATGTGGCTTAGCAATTTCTTCATTCTTCGGTACTATGGCACTATCGCCGTCTCTGTAGGCCTCCACGGCACCTACTACATTTGCGCCTCCATCACACTCCTGGGATCCTTATACATATTCTTTATCATACCTGAAACCAAAGGGAAGGCCCAAGAACAAATCGACGAAGACCTCGATGGACCACTATTGGTGATTAAACGAAAGAGAAAGAATCGTGATCAGCGATGACAGAGGATTCCTAAAGTATTCACAGTGTTCTTCTCATCATTATAAGCTGCTATGAGTTTATGATGCCCTGGTAGGGCAGGAGTTTGCCAAAAGGAAGTCGCTCAATTATGTTTTTAGCGATTGACAAACATATCGAGGTAAGAGTGTTCTGAAGTTAGAAATTAATGACGATATTTTACAATGGCATAACCATTATCCGTGGTATAAAAAGATAAATAATATTATGATGCATTTTGTGTACGGTACTAACATAACCAAATTCAGTCACGAACTATGATTATTATTCGGTCAATGGTTATATTTTAATTTTTTTATTTACGTAAAAAAATTCTTGAGAAAAGGTAGACTCATTTTTTCGTGTATGAATTTCTTTCATAGCAATATTACAGTCGTTTTATCACTTCCGAAACTAACTTCATTTATCCGATAAGTAACACAATAATTTCCCGACAGATTAATTTTATAATTTCCAATCAAATAATCATCAGTCTCGTTAAAATTAGCCCCAAAAAAGTACTTAATGTGAAATATTTGTGATAGTTATTTAAATATTGGATTCAATGTAATGAATGCACAAATGATATTGAATGTTAGTAGGTACGTCGTGGCCATAATAAGAATAGACTATTGGCAGCAAAATTTTAATGGGTTTAAGGTTTTTAGATTATTTTTGTTACTATAGTAACTATCATGAGGCAAACCATCAACGCGCTCGTAACCCCTCTGTTGTTAGAAAAGCTCTTATACAGTCGGCTGCGCCTCGTCGCTGCGACGCGCACGCTCCTTATAAATAATAATCAAGAGTCCCAACTAGTTTCAAGTCACAGCGGGACTCTTATTCATGAGCAACGTGCGCGTCGATACGACTTCTTAAAACTATTACAGCTTTTCTCAGTTATTTCACATGAGTAAGCGGTTATTTTTGTAATAAATTGATTATGTAACACGATAGTTTAGTAGTTTACTATTAAAAAATCATATGTCCTGTTATGTCTCGAAATTACTTAAGGTTTTCTCATCTCATATTTTTTTTTAGACTAACGACTTAGGCCTCCATCAATGAAGCTCTGTAAAAGGATTGTTTGAATGCTAAGGAAGATTTTATTCAGTCGTTCTTATTATGACCACCAATGTATGTTAAAGTGTACACTTTTAAGTACTTTGTCGTACTGCCAACAATATAGATAAGTATATTATGTGTTCTAATAAAAGTGTACATAAATGATAATGTGTGTATCTAAAGTACAATCGACAAATTTCACTCATGGCCCACTTTGAGGAAAAGTTGGTTGAAATTATAAAGGCTAAAATAGTTACTGTTACAATTACAATTCATTCACTCACTTCTCATTCATTCATAATGACGTGAACGTCGACCTGATAAATAGCTAATTATGTATGTCTGTAGGAAGGCAAACTTTGTAATGGACTGTAATTAAAATTTGTCGATTGAATATAAATATTGAATAAATTGTTATATTAATAAGAAAATTATTGTATTTTATAGCAGAAGCCGTGTTGTACCAAGTAGATGTTGCTCACACGATGTCAATATTTTAAAATAAGTGTGATAATATTTTTCTATTAGTCACTTTGTGATAATTGTATATGTTATTACGGGGCGAACGACTTGGAGGACTTTATTTTTTCGTAGCATTATAATTTTTTTGTGTTGATTGAAACAATTATTGAAGTTTTACAATTATTTCCCTTGTATCATTGCTTAACGAATGGAGTTTCTTGCTCGTTCTTCTCCATTCGAATCTACAATTTGGAATGAGCACCTAGCTTCACTGACGAACAAACTGACAGACTACTTCTCTATTTTGACGTTTCAAAAGTTCCTATTTATGGTTTAGTTGGAATAAATGATTTTGACTTTGACTTTGCTATATCAGTTTTTTGCAAAAAATTCAAGATATGTTATATCTCCTTTCACATATAATTATACTTATATAAGCTATATTTTTACACAATTCTATCGCAATATACGCGGAATTTTGCCAACACCCTGTGAGTATCTACATCCCTAAGTTATTACCAAAAGAACTTGTCACCAAATCCTTCGCCTTGTAATATACTACATAGATGATGAGAAGTATAATTATATACCAAAGATTTTATTGGAAATAGTTGCAAGAGAAAAATAATGTTTATTAGACAAATTACATAATTATAGTATATTTATGGACGAAGCGTTAGTTCTTGTAATAGTTGGGCAAGACAAGTATATATCGATAGTACATTACACATATAATAGTTTTTAATATTATTGTCTTCAGTTTAAAACTTTTGTTGAAAGAATGTTTTTCATGTTGTATTATTGTCATAAAAATCACAAAGTACAATACTCTTACTTACTCTGGCCTCATTCTGGGCGAGATAAGACGATTTCGCCCCTCAAAAAAGATATATATGTATATGTATTCAATGTTGATATGCCCAACTATGTTAAACTGTTCAATTCGCACAAAGTGTGTACAAAAAAATTGTATATTTGTACGAATATACAGCGTGAATGTTTAATCACTGATTTCCTGAGATACCTACAATGATTTGGACAGTATTATTGATCTGTAGGGACTGTGGAATTATAAAATGAATAGAAAATTATAATTTAATTTAAGGATGACTTTTAACTAAATGACACTTATAGTGTCGTAAATAATAAATTATAAAAAGCGATCGTAACAATTTTATTTAAATTTAAATTTCTAATAATAATAAACAACTTTTTCCTATTAACCTAGTAACTTACTAAAAACTGATTACTTAAAAGGTCAATGACCTCAAGACCGCGCGCGCGCACTTACAGATTACTATTGGTTCGAAATTAATTTCGAATCAATATTTTTTTGACATTTTATTATTTTGATGATTTTATCACATACAATATGTGTTATGGATAACGCGTACAACGACATTGTCCAAAACATATACATATAGATGGACCTTAATCTACCGTTTTCTTATACTAATCAAATAGTGCGGGTCTAACAACTAGTCTTGTCCAGTACCTATAGCTCTCAAAAATTTAACAACCAATGATGTCACCGGCTGATTTCCTATTGGACGGAAAGAGCGTGTATTTTATGTATTTATATGTGGGCGGGCCATGCTTCGGCACGAATGGATCGGCTCGACCAAAGTTATACCACGGCCTCACAGAAAACCAGCTTTAATAACCACAGCGTTGTGTTTCGCCGTGTGAGTGAGGTAACCGGAGGCCCAATCCTTCCACTCCCCCAATCCCTAAATCTCCAAATCCCTAATCCCCAAAAGGTCGGTAACGCACTAGTAACTTTTCCGTTGCAAGTAACCCTGATGGTAAGCAATGATAGTCTGATGGTTTGCGGACGTATTACATAAAAAAGAGGACAACACTGCCTCCATTTTGTGAGCAACTAAAAACAACTTCTCAGGGAAACAATTATGAGAAATTCACGCTGTATATTCTAAAATTATGTAAATAGATTATTAGGTAGCTCAATACAGTGAATATATTAATGGAAGATGATTTTTAGCCAAATTTTACGGAGATATAAATAAACATATTTGTGGAATTGAATGTTGATAGATATTATAATAATATGTAATAATACATTTTGTATGGATGAATTCATTAAATGGCTTTAAATGTGTGACTGGGGTATTATTTTCTTATTAATTTGCTTTTTAATTCCCACTATTTTGGCTACTTACGTTTATCTACTTGAAATTTAATGAAATAAATATATTTTTGGCAATAATATAAGTATTGCCACTTTATCTATACACAGTTATAACTCAAGAATGTCTTTACCAATTTGGCTAATTTTGGAATTTATTAAATTATTCGTGGAAGTCTAGAAAAAGTTTGAACGTAGAGAAAATTTAAAAAAAAAGTGTAAAATCGACATCCAAATCCATCGGGCGACCGCTAGTATTATATACTATTAGATATAAATTGTACTGTTACTACTTATATTGTAAAATAAGGTCGGCCTTATCTGAGAAGAAATGCTGAAACAACTCTTAGAGTTATTTTTAAAATCCAGACAATCCTCGTTCTAGTACCTAATCATAATTAATACACGTCACATATTATCACAATATCATCAGCTCACAAGTGCCCACTGCTGAGCAAAGGCCTCTTCTCACACGGAGAAGGTTTGAGCATTAATCACCACGATTACTCAAGGCTGATTGTCGATTTCAAACTTATAATTAGAAATAAGTCCAGGCTTCCAAATCAATTTCAAACAAAATTCACTGTCGCAAAAATATTGTCATTATTGTAAGATTTTGTTAATTATGATACTATCAATCGATCAACGGTGAACGTCGAGTGAATTTCAGAATATAGTAAGTATGCCTTAAAAATTACAAAGTATATAATACCTAATCTATTTTTTTTTTAATTCGCTTATATTATGCCGTAAAAATTACAAATTATATTCGCATAAAAACCTGGTATTTTCATAGAGTATTCCCATAAATTGTTCCCAAAAATAAAACAACATTTATTTTAAGATATAAACATTTTAATTTCCATTATTATCTTTACAAATGCATGTAAATTAACTAGCGCTTACATTGAGATTCTTCGTTAGACAAAAATCTCCCTAAATACCCCAATAATTTAGTTCAAAATTCATTGTAAAGTATATAAAATATATTGATATGTTTAGAAACTCTGCCTCAAATGGCGATTTTTTTATAAACTATTTCTAAGATTTTGTTAATGATTTTGGTTTGTATTATTTTTCTTACGGATAGTTATATAGACACATTTGAACATTCACGACGCATAGTACCTAATCGTCTATGATGTCCTAGTACCTCAAACACATTCTTACACAGCCTTTATTACCAATAAAACTTGAAACACAAAAAAATAAACTTACTGACTGATAAAGACAGGCTTCCTGTTCCCAAATTAATATTTCATCCAAAACAAATATTCTGTTTAATGGTTTCTCTATTTACAACTTCCTCAGCTGACCCTCACTCACAAATCAACTACATCCGTAGTCAGGCCCTTTTTATTAGACAATAAGAACTAATCAGTATAATTTACATAAAATAACGTAACATATAATTTATAATAATTTCAAGAACAATTTATACAATATTGATTTTGTTTATAGAAAAAAAACCTAGCTATCAGTAAAGCAGTCTGCTTATAACTTACTAATCCAATTTACAGACAGACACTCAATCATAAAATACAGTAGAATGCCACCAGAAGGACTAGATCGCGTTGTGTTTCGCCGTGTCAGTAACGTTACTGGAGACCCAATCTCTCCTCCCATCCCCAATTTCCCCAAACCTCAAATCCTTGACCCCCAAAGTACAAAAAGCTTCACGAACTCCTATAGAGTAACGAATGTCTATGGGCAGCGCTAATTGCTTACCATACTCAGCATCCTGATCACCAGTATCACCTTAAAAGTGCCCTAGCTTTTTAGCAAGAAAAACTTGGAAGTCTATCGTGGAATTTTTACCCTACTTAAACTTATCGGAGCCAATGTCGCTAACAACATGGGGCACCGGGTCCCTTTAAAATGTTGTTAATACTTATATTGAAATCTGCAAGCAACAATCTGCAGTAAGACCGAACTCAATTTTTGTAATACAGTCCTTCTGATGGCATCCCGACATGTCCTAAATAGCACTCAACATTTGCCATTCATAATCACAGTCTGACTAAACCCTTCATGATATCATCAAATAGTTTCTGAGTTAGAGGAACATATTCTCCCGTCTTTTGATCCATGAAGTATATCGGATCGCTCACTATTTCTACATCAAATCCTTGTTCCATTAACTCTTTCTTCTTAAGCTTAAATGTGGCAGTGAGAGGTGATTCTGGCAGGATCCTCACAAAAAGTGGTCTGGCGAATACTGGAAGTGATGACCGAAGACCCTTTGCTAGTGAAGCTAGGTCTAAGGTTTTTTCTGGATCAGCGATTGCTGCCATTCCTGCTTTTCCTTCTGTGTTAGGTACCTGTTGAAATGAGGAAATAAGTTTTAGTTCTTATTCGACTTGTGTTCTATCAACATCATCACTAGAAGTGCCTACTGTTAAGGCAAAGGCTTCTTCTAGGACGGAGAAGGTATTGAACAGTAATATCAACAAACAACAAACTGACACTTGCGTGCCTGTCTTCAGAACGGGTCCACTTAAACTGGTGTGGTTCTTTCATCAAAAGACCACTACAGAATGAACTTGCACGGTTCTCTCACATTATGTTATTTTTACATTGTCTGGACTTGAAAAGAGACTGACCTCTGAGTTTGTTTCGGCATTTCTTCTCAGAGTAGTCAGATAGGAAATGCCGGCTTCATCTAGTTTTTTACATATAAATTGACGTGTAAAAGTGCCGTTTTATGGCCTATTTGCAAAAATAAATTCATTGTTTCATTGTTTCATTAACACTTGCTCAAGGTGGACTGGTGATTTCAGGCTTATAATTAGAAATTATTTTGTAATTAGAAATTATAAGTCCAGGTTTCCTCATGATTTTTTCCATCACCGTATCCAACTCGGAAAATGTCACATTGGTACTTTCTACAATTTGAACCCCTTTGAACCCAATTTGAGATCATGAGAAACGGCCGTCTACAACGCTTATCAATTATTTTTACCCGACTGTTATCTTATTTACCTTGACTCCATAAACTACAGCATCTTTCAGTCCAATTAGGGAACTAATAACTCCTTCTACTTCTGCTGTTGATACATTTTCACCACGCCACCTACAATATAAAGAAATGTCATGAAACAAATGTTTTTTTAAACAAAGGTCTGCCGTAGGACAATCTTTTAAGATAAAAGTACTAGGCAAACATAAAACTCTAGGAGCTCACCTAAATGTGTCTCCAGTCCGGTCCTTGAAGTAGAAGTACCCATAGTGATCCATCACAAGAACATCCCCAGTATTGAAGTAACAATCTCCTTCCGTTCTCACGTTACGTACCATCTTCTTTTCCGAAGCAGTTTTGTCCGCGTATCCAGCAAACGTCAAAATGGCTTTCTTTGGGTCTATTTTACCTAATAGAAGACCTGCAAAAATAAACTTTGTTATTGAGCTCTTAGAGTTCATCTGTGATAATAATAATAATGAGAGATTGTTTGATATATACCTGGCTCATGTGGGCCACATGTTATACATCTACCGTTGCTGTCTCGTAAGATTTCACCAGTGATTTCATCACATCTGAAAATAATAAACTTGAATATAAGTCGTTCTTAAACTAATGACGGCTTTTGAATCACAGATGTGTGAAAGAGCAGTGTTTGGGCCGGCTTGACAGTAGTAATACTATGGCCTCACAGAAAACCAGCGTGGAACAACCATAGCGTTGTCTTTCTTCGTGTGACTGAGGTTACAGGTGGCCCAGTCCTTGCTCAACCCCCATTCATAAATCACAAAAACCCCTTATCCCCAAAAAGCCAGCAACGCTCTTTAAACTTCAGTGATGTTCAATGCGTGTGCTCACATGCCGATCTGTCATATAAAAAATAGAATCGTATCCTTAAGTGCCTAACGTGATGGGCACTTAAGACGTAAATTTTGTAGGTGAATACTTACTTGACTAAAGTAAGCGGGTATATGGTTGAAAATATCCTGCTCAAGAAACCAATGGCTCCGACTTTTGAGTCCAAATTTACTGAAATTATAAATATGACATATAATCAATCTACACGTTACCGAATATAAAAATGTATTACTTAATTTAATATACACTATTTTACAACTTACCAAGATTACTGTTTCCCTCAGTAGCTCCATAGAACTCCATGACTCTTTTGATGCCAAATCTTTTTACAAACTCTTCCCATATCTGCGGCCTTAGTCCATTGCCGAAGATAACGTTGACTTTGTGAGCGCGGTCGTTAGGACCAGGAGGTACTGCGAGGAGGTAACGGCAGATCTCACCGATATACTGAGTGGCCTAAAGAAGGGAATCGATCATGATTAATTTGAAAAAAAATAAAAATAATTTTTTTAACGTATTCTTGACAGCTTGAAGGTATGCATGTACATGTGTGTCCTTCGGACTAAAGTGATACCACGGCCTCACTGAATACCGGTAGAAATGACACTCATGCTACGTTATGCCTTGTGGGTAAGGTTGCCGGAGGCCCAACCTTCCCCATCTACAATCTCCAAATCCCTTTTCCTTAAATCCCTAATAACACACAAAAGGCCAGCAACGCACTTATAGTAACTCCTTTGGTATTACGAGTGGCCATGGGCGGGACCGATTGCTTACCATCAGGTAATCTCGTTCTTCTAACGTTTCCTGAACTATTCCATATAAAAAATACTCTATTCTTTATTTTATCATCTAATTGTCACTTACAGTGCATCCATATTTAGCGGCGTCACTCCAGTAATTGGAAGCGGAGAACTTCTTTCTAAGGACGACGGTACATCCTGAAACTATAGCGAGACCTGCTCCTAGTACACCGCCCGCAGTGTGGTGAAGAGGTAGTGGGTCGTATATCACATCTGAAGAAGTTAACTGCGCGGAGCTCTGCACTCCTAGTGGGATTAACAGGTATCTAAAGGGAATAACGAGTGCATGTTAATTAATTTAAAAATTAATATTAAAAAATAATTTGATATTCAGACTAGCTACTCTCGTGCAGTTTCAGCCGCTACTCGGGTCCTACAGATCGTAGCGTGATGTTTTATAGCCTATAGCCTTCCTCGATAAATGGATTAACAAACACAATAAGTATTTTTCAATTTGAAACAATAGTTCCTGAGATTAGCGCGTTCAAACAAACAAACAAACCTTTTCAGCTTTATAATATTTCAAATAATATATGTATATAGTATATAGATTTATACTTTTGTATTACGTCAGTTAGCTGTGCGACGTTGAACACATCGAGTATCGCGCAATGCTGCTCATGAATATGAGCCCCTAACAAGGCTTGAAACTAGTCGAGTGTATCGGTTTTATACGATTTGTCGTATATGATGACTAAAATTATGCTTGGATAAGTGTACTCACCTAATATTAGTAATAATAGCTGCCTTAGGGAACCCAGTAGTTCCACTAGTATAGATATACAAGAGCGTGTCTCTCGGTTTTGCCTGCTCACTGTCAATAACAGGCTCTGTTGACATTTCCTTCAGCTCAACAGATAATGGCGTTGTGCCCTGAACAAATGGGGCTGTCTCTCTGTCGGGTGAGTTGTACTGGAAGAGCGGAATGTCTGAGATTTCTGTTTGAATCTCTTTTACAGCTGAAAAATAGAAACAAATGTCTATAGAAATAGTATATAGAAATACTTTATTAATCTAAATTAATAAAAAAAAATTATATAAATATAATCTTTTTTTAGTATTTGTTTTAATGAAAAGTTTAATTTAGATTACTTTTAGAAGTCATTAAAGGAACATAGATTTTATTTATCACTACAGATATATTTTTTTAAAGTCGCTAGGTCATTGTCTGTTGTCTAGTCTGGTTGCTTCAATCAAAACGTGATAAGATAATATCAGAAAATCATATTTATATGATAAAATGTTACTGAACTCTTAATATAATAATAATCAGTTAGGTTTGGGTAAAAAATATTAAAACTATTTAAAATATTTTTTCCTTAAAGTCACGAGTTAAAATTATAAATCATTTCTCAAGTTGTTTACAAAATAATTCGTACATCAAGTGTGAGAGAGCCATGCTTCGCCACGAATGGGTCGACTCACCACGGCCTCACAGAAAATCGGCGTGAAACAAATAACAGCGTTGAGTTTCGCCGTGTGAGTAAGGTTACCGGTAGCCCAATCCTTCCCCTTCCCAATCCGTCCCCAATCCCTAAATCTCCAAATCCATATTATTGTTATTGATATTAGCCAAAAAGTAACTCCTCTATTGCGGGTGTCTACCGGACGTGCTGATTGCTTACCATCAGGTAATCCGTCTGCCCGTTACCCGACCTATCACATAACAAATGTGTACTTTAATAACTCAAAAATCACTTACATTCAGACATCTCATCTCCGAAGATAACAGCTTTGCAACCAGCTATCCTGAGGCAGTGGATCAGCTGACTGCCTTTCAAGTTGGTGTTAATCAGTGCAGTTGTCACCCTGATCTTGGCCAAACCAAGCCATAGGAACACATACTCCGGCTGTGTCTCCATCAGTAAAGCAACCACCTCACCAGGCTTGTACCCTGCACGTTTGAAGTACCAGGATATGCGGTTGCTAAATTCATCACCCTGAAATACACAATTATATTTTTATTTCATAAACTAGCTCTTATCCATGGTTTCGCTCCCGTCATTTGACTACCTACCCTACTCTACCTACCGTACCCTACTCTATCTATCCTACTCTGCCTACTCTACTCTACCTACTACAATTTTCAGCTAAATCGGTTCAGCCGTTCTTCAGTTTTAAGTGGAGTAACTTTGGGGAGTCGATTTCAAAGAAAGAATTGTGACAAGCGTGAGAGAGCCATGCATCGACACGAATGGGTCGGCTTAGCCGGAGTGTTACCACTCACAGAAAACGGGCGTGAAGCAACACTGGCGTTGTGTGTCGCCATGTGAGTGAGGTTACCGGAGGTCCAATCTTTTCGCGTCCTCATCCTTAATCCTCAACACCCCTATCCTTAAATTTCTAAGAACCCACAAGAGGCCGGCAACTCACTTGTTCACTGGTATTGCGAGTATCCATGGGCGGCGCTGATTGCTTACCAACAGGTAATCCGTCTTCTCGTTTCCCGACTTATTATGACATAAAAAAACGTTCCTTCGATCAGAATGTTTGAAGAAATTTTATGGCATGCCTCTGCAGATCCAGGGTCAAGCGCAATAGTGTATCGCGTCTCAGTTCTGACAGGAGATGGAATGGTCTGGTTTTTAGTCAGTCAGAGTCTGACAATCTTTAACACGTTACAAAAATGCTTCAGCTGGTAGCCTATGCCCAACTATGAAAGAGCACTAACGGGCTTATGCCTTCATCATATGAAGGCATTTATTCTCGATCATATCTCTACTGCAGAAGTAAGTGTGGAGTATTGTAAAATTCTCCCATTTAGTGTTCCATTGTTTTTCATATACATAGCCTAATTACTTTAAAGCTGACATAGGTTTTTGCTAACAGAACTCGCGTTCCTATTAGTCCAAAATATAAGAAAGTTAATTTTCCTTCACATTTATAATACAAAACTAAGATCAGTTGTGTAAGAAGTAAGACTCACCTCTCGGAATGTGAGAGCCCTGTCTTCCATGACAAAAGCCTTCTTGTTAGGGCTCATACGAGCTACTTCAGTCCACCTCGTGACCACAGTCTTGCCTTGACGCTCCCACATCCATATCCTGAATATTGTATATAGAAGTACACGCAGACCTCTGAAACGAAGAAACATAACTTTTTGATTTCCGTTGAGCTTGCTACAATGCTAAGCAAATGCTTTTTAATGTAATATTGTCGGCACACGAGCCGACGGATTACAGATTACAAACACAACCATAGGGTTGTTTTTCGCCGTGTGAGTGAGGTTAACGCAGACCCAATCCTTCCCCCATCAGGTAATCTGTCTGATCGTTTGCCAATCTATCACATAAAAAAGAATATAATCCGTTGAGTAGTTTCCATGATCCAGCCAGGTTTGCGGCCCACCTAGCATAAGAGGAGTCAATTGATGTTTACCAATCAAAACAGTAGTTTAAACGACTTTTAATTTCGTTAAATATTCATAATACGAGAATTTAGAGGTATGAGATAACAGGGTGGAAAGCTCCTCGTCCTCCATTGAAAAGGGAGGATCCTCCGAGCAGACGGGTGTTGTGTCTGGTGGGCTACTGCCCGACGATATGTTATTGTTGTGCGATAGATGTCGCTACAAGAAAACGACTACTGTCGCAGAGTGGGCCAAGAGGGAGTCTCTGACATAAAAACTACCCAGTTCCTTCTCCTCCCAAGGCCGAGGTCGCGGTTATTGCACTCGCTCCTGCTAAGCTCTTAACCCGCCTAATATTTCATTTCTACTACCTTTCAAACGTAGAGGCTTATTTTAATAATGCCTATAATCCTATCACTTAAGTGTTAAAAGCCGAAATTTTATCGCATTTAACAATTTTATTGTATCAAACATCTGACTGCAATACTATCTAATGATAATATGTGTAGTCACGTTTTTAATTTATTTATTACATAATGATATCAGATATGATGAGCGTCGAAATAGTGCCATTTCGACGAGGAGGTTTTTTTTATGTAATAGGTCGGCAAACGAGCAAACGGATTACCTGATGGTAAGCAATCAGCGCCGCCTATGGACACCCGCAACGGAGGAGTTACGAGTGCGTTGCCGACCTTTTAGGGATTAGGGATTTGGAGATTTAGGAACTGGGGAGGGATTGGGAAGGGGAAGGATTGGGTCTTCGGTAACCTTACTTATACGGCGAAACACAACATTGTGGTTGTTTCACGCCGGTTTTCTGTGAGGCCGTGGTATCACTCCGGTCGAGCCGACCTATTCGTGCCGAAGCATGGCTCTCCCACACTTAATTGTTTAAGGCAGGTTAAGAATCATCTGAAGTACCAATGTGACTCTTTCTGAGTTGTGTGTACTTTTTATTATTATTTAGACACCACTGACATACGGTGAAGGAAAACATCGTAAGGAAAACTGGGCTTATAATTTCTAATTTAAAGTTTGAAATCATTAATCCGCCTTAAGCAAGAGAGGTGATTAATGCTCTAACAGCAGTAGGCACTTATAGGTAGATATGATAAGAAGATAATGATGAAAGTAATCACCATTATATCACATTAGTTTCTTTATTTATTATTTTCCATAACAACAATGTTAAAAATTCAGACATCTGTTTTCATAAATAAAATAAAGAACCGCACTTGTTTATGTGATAAAGCGGCAAACGACTTGGCTGATTACCTGATGGTAAGCCGGGCCCGCAACAGACGCCTTACCCCGCCTTTTGGTATAAGAGTTTTGCAGATTTAAGGATTGGAGAAGGATCCCCATCCTTCTTTATCCTATGGTTGTTTCACGCCAGTTTTGTGTGAGGCAGTGGTTTCACTCTGCACGAGCCAGCCCATTGATGCCAAAGCATGGCTGAATGGAACGATCTTATTTAAGAAACCGTATATCATTTAACCCTGCCAATATATTGCAAAATTTTGTCAATGGTACCCTGATATGAAACCTTTTAGGTTTTTTTGGCATATGCCAGCAAAACATCAAAGGTTTTAAACAAAAATAAAATAAAACATACTAAAGCCTTATTATCCTAGATAAAAAGAAACTAAAACAATTACTCAAAACCAGTTTAGCATGTATTTCTCCCTTTTAGTAAGCCTACCCAGTAACATTCCCACATGCAATCTACCAGGCAATCATAAAATTACATAACACTTCGATGACGAGCTCTCGTATGTTCGAGCTGGCCAATCATCCAATCATTGAGAGCAACTACAGTGGACTGACACCTCTTACTATATAGTACCTACATCTTGCTGCTCTCCTGGTCTAATAGTGAGCATCCGGCTTACCTTAAATTGAGAGTTATTTGTTATGTGCAACGTAAGTTCAATAGATTTGATAGGTACTTGAAAAACATTCGACGGTCGATTTATTAAATACTTAGGTGCCTAATTGTTATTTCGCAAATTTTTCAAAGGATTTTTTTTTTACCTACAGAGTAAAAATATTATGATCGAACGTGAGCGCTACCCTGCTGTGAATATCTGGTCCTTCGATAATTGATTCTTAATAATTTTAGTAAAACCTCACTACTAAACTTTATATTACAAAACTTGATCAATTTTGGATTTGTACTCATTTAAAAAACCCATTGAGGTCCTTCATATACCAATATTTATGAAATAGATATTTCCAGAACTTCTAAAGATTTTAAAATCAAAACATCGCATAATAAAATTAGCATTCGTATTTGCGTATTCTTTTGTTTTCACTTCATATTATAAATATAGAAGTATTTTTTATTCACAGGCAAATTGTTTAGTCTCGTGTTATTAATTCGTAATATAATGCGTACGTACGTGTCTACCTAGATATAAAAGACAAAATAATAAAAGAGATACCTAAAAGACCATTTCGCCTTGGAATGTTAACTGAATGAATCCCCCCTTGTAAACAGTTTATGTACTAGGAGATCAGGAGAGGCCAAGGTCCAACGCAACGGGCAATTGCTGCAGACACCTTGTGGCCGCACAATGGAGAGCTATCAACTGCGTCCGGTGTTTCGCATTACTCGCTACAGCTTATGTGTATCTGGTAGTTTTGAGGGGACAAGAACAAATCATAAAATTTATATATAAATTAAATCTAATTCGATTATTTATCATGGTTCTTGTTCCATGTTGAAATTGACGCGACAATGATGCGCAAGACATGTTAATGTTACTTAACCGAGGTAAACTTATAACAATCGACCTTATGACCGTCACATTAAAATCATTCCCTAATCTATTGAAGCAAAATCTGCCATGTCGACTTAACAATCAATTTAAAAAAATATTGATTTAAAGTCTACAAGGAACGTGCAACATATTTCTTGTACAAAAATTAAAATGGCGGCGTGCATCTCAAAACGAGTTGCACGAGTGTATGTTGTTCGTTATCAGAGGAAACTTACACGCAATGTCTCAACGAGCTTCAATGTAATTCATTAACATTCATTAGAACTACTGCACTTAACTGCACCTGTCTTTACATTGACAAATTATTATTTGAGGACGCAAATATATTTATGTAATAAAAATATGGACACAATCTTAGTTTCTAGCCTACCTATCTAAATGAATAGAGATAGAATTTTGATTTAAACTTTACTAGCGGCCCACCCCCGCTTCCAGGGTCCAATAGGGTCCAACCTATCTCGCTAACAACGAAAGGATCCTTTTTTCCGAATTTTCCCCTCTACTTTTCTAATATTTTCTTTCATAAGAACCTTCTCCTGACAATAATAAAAACAAAACAAAAGGATTTGTCAAAATTGTTCCAGGCGTTTTTGAATTATGCGCTTACCAACACATTTTGCGATTCATTTTTATATTATAAGAATATAGATAAGAAATACATATCAATATGTACTAAGATTTTGTATTGAAGTATTTCTTTTATACGACAAAATAAAAAATATGTATCTTACTGACGGACGAAATAGATTTATGTCAGTCTGCCCGATAAGTTACTAATATTAGGACGTGTAAGTTATAGGCAGAGACGATCCAATTAACTTCAATGGTTATTAGTTATTTACAGCTGTTTTCACACACACTTAGTTCTTTATAGTAGAAGATTCCATTTTTCCTAAATAAATATTTTTTTTATAATATAAATGTTTATTTATTTATTTATTATTAATAGCAATAGATAAAATGAGAATCCTACAATTACGTATTACACTCCGATATTACCTTCACAGAACGTAATACATATTTCTATTTATATAAAATAATATAACCTGTTTGTATATGAATAATATGCGTCTGTTTTCATTGTACTTTGCTCACTAGTAGTGTAATTCTGCAACAAAACCCAGCCATTGTTTAGGAGAATGTGAAAGAATGGAATGGACTTCGATCAGTTTATTTGTACCAGGGGACAATGAATTGACAGAGCGTCGAAGAAATGCGACACCGGCCTGACCCTTGCACTGTTGATAACGTGTTTAATAAACAACATGCTCGGAAGGAATTCGGGGCTATTCTGTATCTTTATCTATACAATGAGTAATATTTTTTAAGTTTATTATTTTTATTAAAATAAATTCTGTTGCGTTCATTATTGAAAAGAATTTTGAAAAAAGTAATATTATTTTGTTAATTGCTGATATAGATGAGAAAAAATTAATAAAAGTACTTTTATAATGCAGATATCTAATAATAAAATGATGTTATTTTTAGATTCATTTTACATCCATCACTATTTTTGTGAACTAAATTATTAATTATATTTTCTAAATTCTGAAAGTCAGGTTTAATGGCAACACAATTGTCACATTTGCATCATGTGATCTAAGTCTGCATATTTCAAATCTGTACGTAAGTACCTTTATCTTAGTGTCTCAAAGTAATTTTAATTAATTTCACCTTAAATGAAGATAAAACATAACACAATCATTGTTCCAAGCCGGTTTTCCTTAAGGCTGCAAAATCACTCAGGTCGAGCTCATTCGTGCCAAAGCAGTGGTCTTTCACACTTTAACTATAGTTTATATCGTTATAAAGACGATAATACGGCACACTTTGTTCATTTGATTTGAGTGGTCCATGTCGAATAAAAGCCAAGGGCTATTTAAGAGCCATCTTACAAAAGATTATTATATAAAATTTCTTGACAGCAAAACCTTTATACATAAAACTACAATAAACCAGCTTGGAACAATGGTTACTTTTATATTTAAATTATATTAATATAATATAACGCAACAATACGGAAAAAGCCATTGAAAAGTTGAGAAGATAGCTAAAAGCTATACGGAAGATTCCGAACAGGTACAATTTGCTGCAGAGACCAAAAATTTTATTTATTTCCAGAATGTAATCTATACCTGCACGAAATTTATTTGAGATCCGATCATAAGTTTACTAATAACAATGAGACATACAGAAACATATCCAGTCTTTCCTTCCCTTTCACCAATTCTCTAATCCTCAAAACACAAACCTCAAAAGGATGACAATGCACTCATAACTTTAGTATGGGAGAGCCAAACTTCGGCAAGAATGGGCTGACTCGACCATACATAGTAATACCAGGGCCTCATAGAAAACTGGCGTGAGACAACCAAAGCGTTGTGTTTCGCCGTATGAGTGAGGTTACCCGAGGCCTAATCAATCCACAATGCTTAAATCTTCGAAATACTAATCCCCAAAACGTACTGCACTAGTAACTCCTATGGTGTAGTGGTCCCTGCACGCTACCGATTGCTTACCATCAGGTAAACTGTCTGGTCGTTTGCTTCCACAAAAAAAAACATCCTGACAAACATTCCCATTTAAAATGTTAATAATACAGTTCGTATTGACATTTGTATGAAATTAGAAACCTTGTATTATCGTGTGGTCTGAGAAACAGCGGTTGAACAAACCACAACCGTGTGAAATGACGCAAATTCACCATATATTCGTTGTAGCTACTTTTATTGAATCTTGCAATATATTAGGAGAGGTTTTTTTAATGTCATAGGGCGACAAACGAGCAGACGGATAACCTGATGGTAAGCTATCAAGGCGGCACATGGACACTCGTAATACCAAAGGAGTTACTACAAGTGCGTTGCCGGTCTCTCGTCGGTTATTAGGGATTATATAAGGATCAGAGATTTAAGGATAGAGGATGAGGGCAAGGATCCTCTTCAGGTAACATCACTCACGCAGGGAAACACGTTAGTGTGGCTTTACGTCGTGGTATCCACTCTGATCGAGCCGGCCCATTGGTGCCGAAGTATGGCTCTCCCACAGTTAAAGAAGAAACTACGAAAAGCCAGTTCCAAGTCGGTAACAGCTTAGAAGCATATGTCTTTATAATAACTATCGTGAGACATACTTATATATATATAGCTTAGAAGCATATACTTTCTTTGGTAGTAAATAATCTATTCTAAACTATATGGTTGCACAGTTTTGTAGCTGGACACTTTTTTGTGATCTACAAATTTTTGATCCGGGTCTGGGTGTGCTATGTAAGTATTTGAAAATGTATGTTTGTAAACGCACTTCCGGTCTTATAGGAAATTCTAGAGTGGAACTACATAAAAAAATATCGGCCTATCTATTTAAGATTCTAGTCTTTTTTGAGCCAAAAAAACATATTCAAAAAAACGCTAACTATATATATGTTAAAAAGCATGTCGTCAAAATAAGTTTAGAAATTTAAGGATAAAAAACATGAAGATCTTCTTATTTTCACACTATTGTTATTAGGACATCATACACGTAATAAAAGTCATGTGTGATAATAAAATACTCACAGAAAATCCCTGTAATGCGTCTGCTTCCAAATATAAATCCATTGATATCTATCTCCAGTTAGAAAATATGTTCCCAATAGGGCTACAGCGCCCATTACGGTAGGGCAACCACGCGTCAGCCATCCCAAAGCCGCACACGATACCGCTATCGATGTCAGAATAACACCCTTCTTCTTCTCCGCCTCTTCAAAACGTACGCCTGTCTTTTCTGTCATCCTGGTACTTTCATTTGTCTTTGCGCATAGTTGTTTGGCTGTAATAAAAAAAATTATCAAAATTTCAAACAAAATTTAACTGGACATTCGAATAGTCCTAATTTGTCAAAAATTTACAGAAACACGCTTTGTTGTATCTACTATAAAAATGTCCTTCTGGATATAGGCAAACGAAATTCTATTGTCAGGGGCCACTCAAGCCCATATTGGTTGAATTTAAATGTAGATATTTTTCTTCTCGCATTTACAACACAAAAATGTTGTCACCTATTTAACAAAGGCTACTAACTAATAAATTATTAAAATATATTCTCATTAGACTACATTGAACAAAACTAAAGCACCAACAGAACGTTAATGAGGACCCTGGCCGGGAGCGAGAAGAGAAAGAGTTATGTGGATTTTAGCCAGCAAGAGTCTGACACTCCCTCACGCCCCACCCAGAAGTAATATCAATATATTTCCTAACACAAAAAGAAAGCAAACCTTATGATACTACGGACAAATAACAAGAAAAAACATTGACATTGCAATTATAAGAAAAAAACACAAAGTTATCAATCCTACTTATCTCATGATTAGCAAAAGTCTATAGTAATTACTTTTGTGTTTATTGAAAAAAAGGAATTTGCAATATCCCTATATTATCAGTACTCAATAGACAAGAGATAGTGTATGATACTGTAAATCTTATGTATATATTATTATTTTCAACTATCTTATCAGCTATCGCGCGAGATCCTACTTTCATATGATAACAACCCCATACAACGAATATTAAAACTACTTCTATTAAAACTATTCCGACATTCATGTTTGCTATTCCGACCCTGCCTTACAATTTTCATCATCATCATTTCAGTCTACTACCGCCCGTAATGCCGGATATAGGCGTCCAACGTCCTAGGTACGCTATAGTCGAAATTTCGGGTACTAGCGCAATAAAGTACCGAGACCCCGGTCCCGAGCAGGATAAGGGACAGGGTGGATTTAGTTAGTAAGATTCAGACGGTACCTCTCACCTCACCTAGAGAGGGAAAACTTATTTTGCAACACCGTGGTTGTTTCACTTTTCACGCCAGTTTTCAGTAAGGCCGTCTCATCATATTCCGGCCGAAACGACCCATTCACTGTGTAATATAATCGTGAGGCAAACTAAATTATTTAGGCAATACCTATGCCTATAAGCGCCTATCATGGTTTGAAACCACTCGAGCAAAAAACATCTCGAAAAATAAAGACAAGTCAAAAAAGTAAAAAATAAAAACAAAAAAATTTAAAAAATATTAATTTTATTATTTTTATTTAGTGGATTACTTGCCTAATAAGGACTTCTGTAGTTACTAGTCAAAAGAAACCGTTGTTATCAAGTATAGAAAGATTTAAATTTCCTGAGATAAAAACTTTAACACACTATCATTAGTTTATCGTTTTGTTTACGAGGAAAATATTTTAGATATCAGGTACAGAAAGTGCAAAAACCTTTGAGTACATTATTGATAATTCACGGTCATTATGTGATAACATCAACGATTTTAAAACGGATTTGATCAGTTCCTGAGAGGATTTTGCAAAAATGTTTTATTAATTTCCAGTCTCTATTTTTTCCTTAAAATCTATAACATACTCAATTTTTTTCAAAAACATCATCACAATGATTATTATACTTAATAGCCCAATTTTACGCAATGCTGGTTAAAGAGCTCTCAGAAAGGGATTAAGAAAACCGAGAAGTGTGACAGGTGATGGGACCTGTCATACTTCTTGGTTTTCTGCATGCCTAGTACTTGTACATCTGTTTTAAAATATACTACAGATTCGGCCCGGCTTCGCACGGGTGCAATAATGTTGCAATACCAAAGTTCATCATTATTTTAACAGATGTTATTATGCAAAGATACCTTCCTCTTCAATCAATGTATTTTAAAAAAAAACCGCATCAATATTCGTTGGGAAGTTTTAAAGGTTAGGGATATAGTGACAGAGAAAGCGACTTTGTTGTGTGCTATGCAGTGATCATGTATATAATTGTCCATATAATTTGCTGCCTAAAAACCTACTCTAGTACCTGCATCAGTTTTAATATTTTAACAGTATAAAGTTACTGTATTTATAAATTGGATACATCTATTTATATAGTTTTTATTATCATTGTATTGAGAACGAGATTATGAATTAGAATTTCGCTTTTAAGGCTTAAACAACAACTCTCGTCATCATCATCGTCAGCCAGAAGAGGTCCACTGGCGGACAAAGGCCTTCCTTTAGTTATTCCCGCGACTCTTCGCCCCATCTAGCAGGAGGTCTGTCTTCCGGTCCATCGTCACCACTCGAGCACTGACCCATCGGCCGTCAGTCCTTCGAGCGATGTGGCCTGCCCATTGCTACTTCAGTTTGCAGATTTTAAGAGCTATATTGGTGACTCTGGTATTGTGGCGAGTTTTCACATTGCGGATTTTGTCGATAATAATATAATAGTCGCCTCAAAGAGCCAATAGACTACCACACACAGGGCCGTATAGGGTTGATGTTCATCCGGGGTTGCAGGGCAAGCGGAATAAGGCTAGAGCTGGAGAAGGAACGGAGGGTTTTTAGTCAGTAAGAATCTGAGATTCCCACTTGCCTCACTGCGGGCGAGGGATGATTTTACCATCACAAAATAAAGCATAGCTCTCTCCATCGCACGCGGGGCAAATTTTAAATTTACTAAACAAGATATTTTCGTTTTTAAATCACTTCTTAATAAACGTCTGTTACTAGGTCCTTCAAATGTACCTTTTCCATCTAAAACTATGATGTTGTAACAATATTTCTGAGTTCGAGGTTGGCTAATCAGTGCGCGCTGAGTGACAGTATTCTAAACAGGCATAGTATGCACCTTGTGCGTCAATTAGCATTGCAACGTGTATTCAATTCGGTGAAGGTTATTAAACGTTTTGTTAGTATAAGTGATTAAATTATTATTAATCATGGACGAATCATTTGTTTACGATTACAAAAAAATATATTTAGAGAAGATTTTTCGTACCAATTCTTACCAAAAGATTTAAATTTTTATCCATAGTATATAGCATACGGATCACCTGATGGTAAGTGATCAGTCCCGCCTAAGACACCCAAAACACCAAAGGAGTCACTGGCACGTTGCCGGCATTTTAAGAGGAGTTACCTACGCTCATTTCTTATAGGTTCGAAGTTTTGTTTTCTGATACGGTGCGGTGCGTAGCGTTCCGCGCGCGCCTCAATGAGCCAATAGACCACCACAGACGGGGCCTTAAAGGGCTGATGTTCAGCCGGGGTTGCGGGGTAAGCGCAATGAGCACCGCGACCTCGGCCTAAAGCAGGAGAAGGAACTGGGGGGCTTTTAGTCAGTAAGAGTCTGACACTCACTCCCACCCTACCCTGGGCGGGAGAATACCTGGGTCTCGTCCTCGACAGCCGATGGAACTTCACGGAGCATTTTCGTCGTTTGGCCCCTAAGTTAGAACGGTCTGGGGCCGCGCTCAAGCGGCTTCTTCCCAACCTCGGGGGGCCAAACGCCTCCTGCCGGAGGTTGTATATGGGGATTGTGCGATCCATGGCCCTCTACGGTGCCCCGGTGTGGGCGCCGGACTTGAAGCGGCGGCCGGCTCGTACGCTGGTCGCGTCCCAGAGGGCCATGGCTATCCGAGTAATCCGCGGGTATCGCACGATCTCCGGGGAGGCGGCGAACCTCCTTGCCGGATCACCGCCGTGGGATCTAGAAGCGAAGGCGCTCGCGCGCGTCTACAGTTTGCGCGCAGACGCGCGTCGCCGGGGCGAGGATCCTCTGCCACGCCAAATTAGTGCGTGGCGGAATGAGCTCCGGCGAGATCTCATGGCAGAGTGGAAACAACGACTGTCGCAACCGAGGGCCGGGCACGCTACCATAGCAGCGGTAAGACCCCTCTTTGAGGAGTGGCTTGAGAGACGCCACGGCGTCCTCACCTTCCGTCTGACGCAGGTGCTTACCGGGCACGGCAGCTTCGGTAGGTTCCTGTTTCGGATTCAGCGGGAGGAAACGCCCGAGTGTCGTCATTGTGAGGACCACCTAGAGGATACAGTGGAGCATACGGTAGCGGTATGCCCTGCCTGGGCTGAGCACCGCCGTATCCTCAGGGAAGTGATCGGCGGCGGCGACCTCTCGCGCCCGGTCTTAGTCGAGGCCATGGTGCGGAGTGAGAGGAACTGGGACGCCGTCTCCTCCTTTTGTGAAGCAGTCATGCTCGCAAAGAGAGAGGCGGCCCGCGTGAGGGAGCAATCCTCCTCCTCACGCCCCAGCAGCCGCAACTGGCGACGACACTACGGGCGTCGGGGATCGAGGGACGATCTCCGGCCACCGTAAGTACGGGCCTGCGGTCGGCGAGTAAGGGCAGCTCGCCGCTCGACCAGAACCAGGCCCGAGCGTACGGCGCGTAGCGTTCCGCGCGCGCCTCAAAGAGCCATTCGACCACCACAGACGGGGCCCTAAAGGGCTGATGTTCAGCCGGGGTTGCGGGGTAAGCGCAATGAGGTACCGCGACCTCGGCACAGAGCAGGAGAAGGAACAGGGGGGTTTTTAGTCAGTAAGAGTCTGACACTCCCTCCTGCCCGGCCCTGGGCGGGAGAAGTCATTTGACGCCTCCGCCCTCACAAAAAAAAAGAGGAGTTACAGGAGCGTTGCTGGCGTTTGAGGAAGAAGTACATACGCTCATTTCTTGAAAGTTTAAAGATTTGGTTTCTGATAATAATCAGTTATCAAAAGATTTGAAGCAAAAGTAAGGCATTCACTCCCTTTCAAGGAGAAAAGGATAAATATAGGTCACATTAGGTTAACATTAACGTGTTATCAAAGGTACACAATGAAAAGATACAAATCAAAATATGTACTGTTTTTTATGTGTGATAGCACGACAAACAAATAAATAACATTTTCGGATTGCTTGTAAACAGTGACACGGTTATATAGGTAAAGAATGTATTTTTCTATATAAGTCTAAACTATACTATACTATACTAATACTACTACTATACTATAGTA